ATACTTTCGTATATATACATTATATTTATGTGGTACATTAGGTACTTATATATTTGCAATATATTATGTTTAAAATACTTATACGTTGTATATTTATATAACATTCCAGTTAAAAATTGTATGAACAAATTTATTTGAAAAATATTGTTTACAAAAGTTATTAATAAAAGTTATTAATTTAATTTACTTAACTTATTTAATTAACTTATTAAAAGTTATTAATAATAATTTGTTTGAAAAATATTGTTCACAAAAGTTATTAATAAATTAAAAATAATTAAACGTCACATGATATTGTTAGCAAAATTAGTAATATAAAAAGAATTTTTATAATATATACGTATATTAACCTTAATTATTGCATTAATGCAACATTTTCTTTGTAATTCATCTCAATCAATTTATATTATCAAATTCTTTTGATATGATCCTTTGAAATTCCAAGAATTTACTTTATATCTTTCTAACGTTATTCCTTCTGAATTCTATAATTCTTGGAGTTGCTCTAAGTTTAAAGAAATTTAAGTTATATAATACTACTTGGTTCTTAATATTACGTTAGGTATATACGATAAATTACACTAAGATATTGCAAAACGCTTTGACAGAATTATTATAAATGTTTGATTGAATATTCGACATGCATCTTATTGCGCACGATAGAATTCTAACGCAATCTGTACATAATTTCTATTTGACAAGAGGAAATCATTCATGCAATCGAGTTTAACGCTAGACCTTCACACCTATTATTAAACAATATTTTTTTTTTCTCAATCGGACAAAAGATATTAGAAATTCTATATAAAGATCTTCTTGTTTATTATTTATTAAGCAATTATTTATTATTTGGAATAATTTAATTATTTATAAAAATCATATCATCTTATGAAATCAGTGGAATAATTCGGATGCATTCTAACAATGATTGTTAATGTGTTGAATGAATTATTCGTTTAACGAATCGAAAGAAACTTTCTTAAAAACTTTTCTTGTGCCGCCTTTTAGAAGATTCGGCACATTACTAATAAGCGTCACGTACTTTGTGTAACTGTATAAATTTCAGGCTGAATAATGCGGAACAGAGGAGGCCATGCCGTCAACGAATAATTACGTAAGCGATACTTTCGTCAGAATTTTTCTGCTTTGAACAAGTGCGTGTGGCTACTTGAAAATTTTATATCGCTTTACAAAGAGAACGGAGCAAGGTGCTGTACAAAAAAAAGGAAAAAGATATGTATTAATAAATTATTATAAGTTTTAAAATTTTTCAACTTTGGGCTGTTCATAATATTTTGAATATGTTATTATTTATTATTAAACTGTGGAATTTCGTGCAAATTCATATTTTTGAGAATATAAATCAGTTAAAAGAATAGAAAATTGAAAATTATTTTATCATACATAGAAAGCACTATGATCTAGATATTTTACATATTATTACACAGTTAATGCATAAAAATCACTATAAATGCATAAAAATCTGTAGCTTAGTTATTACGCGTATATGTATGTACATGCATAACTAATCTCTTTTAATCTTTTTTTTTTTTTTTGCAACTCGGTCTTAAGCTCATTTGTTTTTTAAATCATATCCAGTTTTTTTACGCTCACGTCTGCTACACACTTTGTGGAAAATGTATATCCTACGTTTTTATTGGCTAAAACTTTTATTAATTATAATTATTTTATTAATTTAATAGCACATAATTGCTATTCGAAGAATATTTCATGATTATTTTTCTAAGTTAATGCACTTCTCTTGGAAAATATATTTTGAATCATTTAACAAATTTCTTTGCAAATTTCTAATCACAGTCGACCAAGATTTTTCATTATGAACTTAGACAATATTAGAATCATAATTTTTTTATTATTTACCAGTTTAATTATTTTAGAATTATATTTAAGAATTAACATAAAAAGAGAATTGAATTTAAAAATGCATCTGAAAGTATGTTACAACATTTGTTAATTTCTTTATTTATCATTTCCATACAAATGCCAATTAATTTTATGGAATGTACTATTATGTGTTTAGTAATGTTGTTTATTAGTTCAAACTTTTTTTGCTAAATATTCAATCGTAATTTTTTACACAACAAGAATTACAGAATTACTTAATCAGAAGTATATTTCAGTCTACTATTAAATGGAACTTTTAATTAAACTTTTAATTAAATTATTAGAATAAATTAAAGTTACATAAATATGTTAATAACTAAACGTTAATGTTTATAGTTATATTTACTAGGTAATTTTATATATTAATATATTTAATTCATCATTGTTATTCTGAAGTATTTGTTATTAATATTATTTTGAGAAGCAAAATACAATTATTACGCTTTTATTTTTCGTAGTAGCTATTTTACAGCAAATTTCATTTAATTATTTAAAAAGAATTATGATTAATGACTTTTGAAAATTATAAATGAATTTTGAACTTCCATTTTTGACATCTTATAAATAAGTTGTTGATTTTGAAAACATATATATTTATTATTAGTGATTTGAAAACTTAATAAATAAAAACATTTTATTTTGTAAATAATATAATAATGTAAATAGCTTATTTATTTTCATTTTTGTACACATTTAACAAAAATCTTATTACTTTTTCTATTTGAAGAATTAGAACTTTTTCTTTTA